TACGCCAGTCATCAAACAGGATATATTTAAGTAAGAAAATACCAAGGCTTTATTTTGTTTTCTTATAAAGGCAGCCCTGCTTGTTGGCTAAGTAGAAAGGACATACACCGTTCTCATGAGTAAACAAGCTTTACCTGCTTCAGGCTGCATACCGTAATGCCAAAGAAGTGACATGAAGTGGGGGAAGGTGTAATGTTCTCATCTTCATAGTGATAAAATGCAAAATAAAACAAATATAAAATGGACTTCATTAATGCTGGGCATGACCACTGGGAAAAGGCAAGAGGACTTTAAATCAATCAGTAGTTTTCTTGTAGACGGTAACAAAATGTCACTAGGCTGGGCCACCCTCACTCCTCGGTCCAGCTCTCCCCACCTGAGGTACACCCGTCTGGAATCAACAAGGCTGGTGGTCAGGAGCTTTTGCTTTACAGTCCATGAGATGAGAAGGGAAAAGTCCTGGAAGCCCAGGAAACCTGGCTTTGGCGAGGCGCCTACGTGCAGCAGTGTCGCATGTGGAAGTTGACAACATACTCAGCGTTAGTCCTCTGCACAGAAATAGCAAAGGGCTCAAACGGATGAAAGGTAAAGGCAACGAGACGCCGCACTGTGTGGCTGACGGGCCGGCCCAGGAGGCCGGCCTGGATCTCAAACTTGAGCAGACCAGAGTCGCGGGCATAGAACCTAAACACAAGGAGAGAGAGGAAGAGAGAGAGGGTGGTAGAGATACTCACCAGCACCGTGAATCTGCACAGCTGGGCAATGTGGCAACTCATTATTTTACCTTACGTTAATGGAATCCCCGCTTATACCAGCCCCAGGTTATCAGAACCGCAAAATCACCTTCGTCTTATTGGCTCATGTCATGGGCAGGGTGATTATGAATTTTACTACATTGTCCTGGGTCACTGGGTCTGTTCTCTTTCCCAAGACAGCCCTTAATTACAGCCTCCCTTTTCCAGAAGCTAGCTGCCCCCAAACTGTTGAGGCCAGGGCTAGAAATGAAATGTGAGCCACATATACACTAAATTTTTCAGGAAGCCACATTAAAAAAAAAATTATGGCAAAATTAATTTTAATAATATATTTTATTTAACCCATTATTGGTGTCCAAAATAGTATCATTTCAACCTATAGTCAATATAAAAAATACCAATGAGATATTTCACATTCTTTTTTCTAAGCCTTTGAAGTTCGATATGTATTTGACACTGAGCAAACCTCAGCTTGGACTCATCACCGTCTAAGTGCTCAAGAGCCTCGTGGCTAGTGGCTACTGTACAGGACAATGCGGATCCAGGCCCATTTGAGGTTTTCGTTTTAAGACTAAATTCTTTTGGAAGGTTCTTCTTTTCATACACAAAAACAAAATACTAAGTAGTTTTTAACTCCTCATCTAATACAGTCAGATTAAAGATGCTGTCATCCATCCCTGTACTTAAATACCTTTTCCCATAGGCAAATTAAGGACCCTGTGGTACTGAGAACTACAGGGGGTCAGCAGGGTGGGGCTGAACTGGGGAAAGTTCTACAAAATGAAGAGCCTGAATTAGAGAGCTCTACCATTTCCCTTTTGGAAAGCAAATATATCGTGGACATAAAGATATTCATACCCTTTGACTTGATAATCCCATTTCCAAGAATTTAGATCCTCAGCATTTAATTTAAATCAATTAAATCGTGACATGACTAAAGATGGCTACTAGAGCATTCGCTCTAATGGAAAGATGCAGAAAGAGAATAATAAATGCTCGGTAATAGGGGGATGGTTAAATAAAGTATGGTACATCTACCTGACGGAATGACATGCCCTTACTAGGACTGTAACTGTGGGGACTATGTAACAACATGGAAAAATGTTTATAAAGTAAAAGCAGACCACAAAGGACTCTGCTAATCACGATTACAACTGTGTAAATGTAAACATGCACCCTGCCAAAGGCGAAAATGGAATGCACAATAAAGGTGCTAGAGTAATGGCATTACCTCTTCAAATGCCCTTCATATCCTTCCAGTTCTCATTTTAAATGAAAAATAAATAAGAATTACAAGAAAAGCCCCTTAAGCCAGGGACTATGGCCTTTCCAGATGTGTTCATTAGGTTAATCTTTTCAAATCAGAAAGGCAGGGGAGCCAGAAAGGAGAGAAATGTGTCTCATGCTACTTGACAATATCAAATGATGCCCATTACATGCTTTTATGTGTGAAAAACACATTCACTTTACCCACTTAGTCCCCAACACACAAAGGGCTTGTAATTTAAAGTGAGTTGTCTGAGCTTCTAAATAGAACTACCTCTTTACAGGAAATATGGCGGAATGAGAAAGATGGTAAATACTACACCAGGGACACAAGGAGCAAAACCTAGAATGTGGGGAACACGACAGGACAGACTACCTGGCTTCAACAATTTCACTGCAAGGAAAATAAGAGGCAAACAGAACCTAGAGAATGAAAACGACTTAAGGAAACGGTGACCAAATGCAACGCAGGAGCCTGTTTATGTCCTGACTGGAACAAACAGACTCCAAGAAGAATATTTACAAGACAATGGGAAAATGTAAATGCTGATTAGATATTTGGTGGTCTTAATAAAGTTTTGTTAATTTTCCCTAGATGAAACAGTGGTATCAAGGTTGTATCTTTTTTTAAGTCCTTCTCTTTTAGAAATTCTTACTGAGACTATTTACGAGTAAAATGCTATGCCACCTGGGACTTTGCTTCAGGCTAATCCAGGTGGCAGGCGGGAGGGGAGGAAGCAGTGGTGATGGTAGAAAGAGATGTAACGACTTTGACTGTGAGCTGGTAACCGCTGAAGCTGGGTGATGGGTACGCGAAGGTTCGCTCTTCTCCTGTTTATATGTTTGAAATTTTCCACAATTAAAAAAATGTAACTGGTTTTTGGATCTTGACTACCATTTCCCAAAGGAAATATTATGAATGGTGGTAATTGTACAGAAGATGTTACACAAGCCTATTTAATACACAATGATGCTGGATTATGAAATACTAACTACCATTGTATCTATGTGGAAAAGACCCACGCGCCAGCTCAGGCCTCCAAAAACACGCCTACCTCCCTTGCAATAGGCCCACTAGTGACAATGGTGCCAGTTCCTTTCCCTAATGCCATTACAGCACACAGAACAACATAAGCTCCCGACAGGAGAGACAGGTGGGTCTGTGAACTGGACATCTGTGAGGGAGGGCTTGATTGTAAGAGGTTCCAATAATACAGTAGTAGTAGTCCACATTCCAAAACTCCCCAAGTGAGGAAGCATGCGTTTCTCCAAAACCTCCTGTCCCCCAAATTGTCTCTGCTATCTTTTCTACTAGGTAACATGGGGGAATAAAATAATTTGAGCTAGATCAAATTAAAAAGTCTCAGCCATAAACATTATTATGAAATGGTATTGGATTACTAAATGGAACAGTATCGTTTCCTTCCCTGGATACCTTTAAACGGGAACAACATTTATCTGAATTAGATGTTTGGATGAGAAGCAAAGAGTGATTGTTTAACTTATGAGACTAGTGCCGATTTGATCAAAGCACCCACCACGGTACAGAAACAGCCTGACCTTTTCCATTTAACCCGTGAGTACAAATGGACAGTCACAGTGAAACGACGTCTAAGAAGGAGAGGGAGAACGTGGGCTGTCATCAGCCCTCAGGCGGTTCGCAGTGAAGCGGTTTGCAGGGGTGGCGTACCTGATAGGGTGATCTCCACAAGTCTTGGGCCGCTCCATGACTGACACCCACTTGTCATCGTAGCTGAAGAGAGACAGATCAAGGTAGGGGCTGCCGCTGTAGGACTGGGCGCTGATGGGGAGCTGGCCCAGCAGCCGGCGTACGGCCTCCGTGTGCCCTCCATACTTGGCATTTACAATCGTGTCTTTAAACCTAGAACAAAGCACCATGAGGGAGGCTGTGTTAGCAGACACACACGGCTGCCTGGCATTTTGAATTGACGCATATATGTCCAAAATCAACTCTTTCTGTACATAAAAACCCAGATTTTGACCAAAGTCAGAACTCATACACATCACAAGTCTGGCTGGCTACAAATACCCTCAAAATGCAGAAAACAGAATTAGAAATGGGGAACATTACTTTAGAAAAATTAACAAAGCCTCTACAAGTTTAAAATGAGTATAACTAATCTATGACAACTACTTCTACTTGAATATACTCTCCCTAAATAACAGCCGCAGACTGCATTAGGGAGGCGTTAATAAAACAACTTTCACCGAACCTTTTGACAAATTACTCATTCTTCGATTAAATAAACTTTCAGAGCTACCTACCTATCCCCTACCAGTGTCTAGAAGAATAGTAACATGGATACAGAGTCACATATCTGACCTATAATAAATAATAATAAAGCAGTCATTTCTCACAATTGTAACAAATACTAAATTNATGCCCATTGATGTCAGCCAAGCCCTCCCATTCTCCTCTGGGTACCACCACTGACTTGTCCGCCTCCCTCCCTCTAGTCTCTATTCTCTCCAAGCTGCTGGAAGTTCTCTCTCTGAAGTTCCTATTATGCCTTCCACTGCATAAAACCCTAGCACGGAGCACAAGACTTCTCCCCATGACCACACACGTTTTCCCCTGGCCCCTACACAGCTTGTGCTGTAGCCATACTCAATTATGTGCCAACCGTGACAAGCCCTTTTCATGGTTCTATGCCTTTGAACCTGCTGGATCTCTCCTTGAAGTGTCCTCTGCCCTGCTTCACACACACACCCCCATTGATCCGGTTCCAGCGTCCCTTCCCCAGTAGAGCTCCCCTCTCCTCTCCTTCATCCCCCACACTGTTCCCAGATAGAGTGTTGGAACATTTACTGTTTTGCATGAGAATTCTCTTTATTTGCCTATTTCTCTCCTCATCCTTAACATCTTGACACAGCATCTACCTGACTCCCAGTAGGTCAACACAGGTGCTCCAATCTTGTGTTGAATGCTAAATGAGAATGAATGTAGCTGTTTAATATTGAAGGTGATGAAACCAGCTGAACTGTTTTCAGTGGGGCTTCGCATCTCATCACATTTCTGATGTTCCCAAGGGAAGTCAGTCTGGATGCAGAAGGACCCAGGGTCCAGCTGTGTGCATCCATCGCTCCTTTCACAGCCTGCTCTGAAACCCAGCGTTTCAAAGTTACCTTCAAAGTCAGGTGTCACTAAACAAGCTTATTACATGAATGGTGGGTGCATGATAAAGATGAAACATGAACAGCCTGACGAGCCCTATGGAGGAGACCAGCTGACATGTGACAGAAGGATGCTGGCTGGGGGCCGGCAGGTGTGTTCGGAGGACAGCCGTGACGGCTCAGCCATCCAGGAACACCCAGTCTGATTGCTTTAGGGGCACCTGGAACCTGCCACCTCCCACTACCCAAACTGCAGTACGTGCTGAACAGTGTTTGTTTCTGCGATGGCCACCTGCACGACACAGATGGTACAGATGGGAGCATGCTTCCACATGAGCGTGTGCAATTATGCCCAGTCCCTGCAGCTGTAACCACCACCAGGAGAAAGCCCGAGGGAGGGAAACGACCCTGGCAGATAACTGTCTTCCATGCTGGCACACACCACATAGTGCTCCCACGAGCAGATGCTAATCCTGTGGCCTCCAGTCCCTTGCACAGTCCTTCCTGGAACCCAAGTCTTTGAAAAGCATTTGGTGAGAGCAGAACATACGCCAGTCATCAAACAGGATATATTTAAGTAAGAA